ACCAGGAATGGCACAGCACGAAGTGAGATGAATGAAAATGAAGATGATTGTATCCCCCAGCTGCCAGCGCTGGGGCCCAGGGCGGATACTGGCAGGCACGTTTTCACGGGGCTGGGGAGGGGGGTCTTCGTTGGCCAGGAATCTATCATGAAGAAAAATGAAAAAATGCATTCCCTGACATGTCTGCAAAAGGTGCAAGGTTTGTCGCATGTACAGCAGAATTACACAGACACACACCCACACCCGTGCGCGCGCACAAAGAGCCGACATCGAGCTAGGTGGAACATTACCGAACGAAGCCCTTACGCCTAAACTGGCTCGGCCTCCGATCTCGAAACCAGGCCAATTCCCAAGGCATGCCAAGGCACATGGCAGCCAATAGCTCGCGGTACCAACGGTCAATATTGGTCCCTGGCGACTGGAGATCTGATCGGGCCACCAGCCTAATTCCACAACCGAGCTACCTCTGCTTGAAAACCACCACGCCGACGCACATCTGACAACATGTGTGGTGTACCGTATGGATTCGACTCCCGCGGATGCAGCCCGTTTCCAACCAATCCGATGCGAAGTCGACAGTCCACAACGCAATAGATTTTTGAGCTTAGCAGCCTCCAAGTTCGATCTTCGGATGACAGAACTAGATGGCTCGGAGACTGCGCAAGCAGAGACAGCATTTCTGCAAGTTGACGGGGGGAAGCACAATCAGCAAATGAGAGGAGACATCTCGAATGACTAACGAAAAGCTCTAGACCACGTGGCAAGCCGAGAGATAGCCAAATGACAGCAACCAGGAGCAAAGACCAGCCCGAGAGATCAGATCAGCAACCTACACGTCTTGCTTCTCAACACAGGCACAAGAACACGTCTTCGTGCGCACATGCCGGTCTCGATTCTACTTTTTGCTGCTTACGCATTTGGGAACCGACTTGGACTCTGCTGCAGCAAACCTAACTCGTATTTCCATGTCCCAACTCTGCTAAAACCTATAGCTACATAGCTGCCATAGCATCAGTGCGAGGACCCTTCGAACAACACAAAAAACACTTACTCGGCTCTGGAGCTACCCTGAACCCTGACCTCTGTTGCAAAGTATCATCCCGAAGTGCTTAACCTGTAGCCGCTTGAGGCCTTGAAGCTGCTAGACTTACATCATACATCCCCAAAACATAAATGAATGAGAGACTGACAGTCACACAGTAAGTAAACTTTCAAACCGTGAGATCCCTGCCACCTTGTGGTCGCTCAGCTGCCACGACATGCGAGGCAAAGGCTGTCGCTACATACGTCCCACCAGAAACTCCGGAGATGTACTCCACGTCCTGCAATCTGATGTTTGGAGATGTTAGGTTTAGGCCTTGGGGTTGCCAGAATATGTGAGCATGTGAACCCAATACTTCCCTAGTACATTCACGGTACAACTACCTTGCATGTGTACTAGATTCGCGTAGCATCGACGTGAAACTATAGTTGCGTTACATCTACAGTGTACATCTATACATACTTTACATTGACGTTACGTCTACATTGCCTGTTGCAATGCGCTTGCACTCACATGTACGCTACATTCTGGTGCAATGCATTACAGTACAATACAATGCATTTCATACGTTCATGCATTTTGAGATAGATCAATGACACTGCAGACATACCCCTCTGTCTCCCGACCTGCGTAACGTTCACATCGTCGCCTACATCGTGTGACAACTTCGCGTGCAAGATTGCCAGGTTTCCTCACTGGTCTTTGGCTTCCTACAGCCCAAGCGCAAAATGTCCCGCGATTTGGTTTGTAGAGTTCTGCATCATATGCGCCTTCAGACGTCCACATTCGGCGAGTCTCCACAGCACGCCAGTGGCAAAAAAGGCGGCCCTCACGCCACCGCCAGAAAAAGCCAAAGACAAGTTGCAGCCGTCTTGCGTGGGCACCCCTCAGGGTACGAGGGATTACTTTTACTCTGACTGTCGTGTCTTTTCGGATGCCATCGGTCTATTGGCACGAGGGGGTCCCGTTGCATGGGTAAGAGGTCAAGGGAGCTGCTGTGATTAGTGCTTTCAGGTTCTTTTGGGTCTATCACAGGGATGCTTTGTCTGCAAGGCTGGATGAACTCTTGAGAATACGAGGAGATCCTATGATGGTTCTGGATGACTAGTGGTCTGTGAGACGAAAACCCCGGGGAAGATCACGAGCGTCAAGAACCTAAACCAACCCAAAACCGCCTTATGCCCTCGGTCACCAAAACCAGGAAACACTGAACATGGCCTCTAAGTGGGTACCGCCTCAAAGTGGGTTCCAATTGTATACCTGGACATAGGAAACCCAGACTTATGCCTAAGTGCCCAAGCTTGAGTCGAAGCCTCGCTGGTCCCAGTTGTAGCGGAGGAATGACCTCTCGTGCTTTCTCACGTCTGCCATACCTCTGGCAGGGCGACAAGCAAGGCAACTTTCGGGTTCAGCAGGGTAGGGGCTTCAGAAGTTGCGGTTTGGACTCTCGCAACCCGTGGGTTTAAAGTATGGGGAGTTCGTATGGTTTAGGGTTGGCGCAGGTTTACATGGAGTCCATGCCTTTGATCAACCGATCCCCCTCGTTGAACTTGTCCGCAAACTCGCTTTCCCAATCCTGAGCGCTGTGACTTCGGAGCGAGGGTTTCGGTCATACACCTGCACTCTCCAGTGCAGTTCCTATGTTGGGCTACCCGGTTTCTCTATAGTGGGCTTTTCACCATAGAACGGACTAAGCAAGCGAAGGAGCAACATCGGGTTGATTTTGGAGAGTCTAGGTCGGCTTCGAAATCCGTGCGCCGCGCCTGCTTAGAGACTGCGAGAAAACCAGAGCACTGTGACTATTGATTTTGCACATAGGCTACCCTCGTCAACGTAAAGCTTCGCGGACACAGGTTTTTGATTGTCTTGAGTTTCTTCTTCGGTCTGATTTTTCGGCAGGAACCGATTTTGTGCTTGCTCTTACTAGGAGCCCCTTCTGCTCTTCACAAGGCTGCAACCTCAACAGAAGGGATGACCGTGCTCACTACTACTACTACTACTACTACTGCTACTGCTACTGCTGCTAATGCTGCTACTGCTGCTACTGCTGCTACTACTACTACTACTGCTACTGCTACTGCTACTGCTACTGCTACTGCTACTGCTGCTGCTGCTG